AGGGGAGTGCAGAGAGAGTGAGCTGGGATGGTTAGTGAGAGATTTAAGTTGCCATTTTAGACCCCATAGGCAGTTTACCCCTTTTTCCTCCTTGATTGACTCCTCTATATACAGTGATGTGTGAAAAGATATGATAAGTTACTCCTTCCATCCAACTTTCTCCAACTTTTATAACCTTTTACAAGTCTTAAAGGAGCAGATTTAAGGTTTGAGCACATTTACACATTGGAGACAAGGCTCTAAATAACCAAAGATGTTGTATTTCTCAAGACGTCCACTGCAGTACAGTTATGAAAACCCCTCTAGGGGGAGACAAACATACAATGAGTAAGATGTTTTCCATGAAGAGTTCGTTAGTATTGTCTATGCCAGCAGATTAAATTAGTTCTTGTATCAAATAATATTTTTCAAGTACAGGGCAGATGAAGACAGTGAGTGAATCAACATACATATATAAAATGAACGGCATTAGTAAAACTGGAGTATATTCTAATTTTGTTGTTGATCTTATTTAGTGCTGAATTATTTTGCAAAGAAGAAAATAAATACCAAATCTTAAACAACAAGACTTATTCAGACTTTCTTTTCAACAGGTGTCATTATCGACGTCTTAAACATATAAATCTGGATACAAAATTGCTGTCTGACACTATGTGGACCTACTCCCTGCTTATATAGCCAAAATGTTAAAATCTCAAACATCTGTTTGAATTGGGGTGAGAGCAGACAGTGAGCAGTGCACAGACTGACGCAGATAAGAAATGTTCACACCACTCACACAGTGCTAACAGGAGTAAGGCAATTACTATATCACTCTGTTCACACTTCCAGCACCAGAAAGCTAGGATTCAGAAAGCTTTCTTCCCAGTTTTGTTTTCTCGTTGTGGTCTGTTCCTTCAGTCTGTCAGCGTGGCTTAATCCTTTATTCCCTGAGATGTGTCTGGTAGCTCTGGACTGATTCAATAGCAGTAACATCTGTTCAATAACGCAGTGACCTAAATTGTACACAGTATTCTAAACAAAGTCTTAGCAGTGCTTTACATAACTTCAACATAACATCCCTTGATTCGACTTCCATGTTTTTAACTATATTCCTAGCATTGTTTGCCTTTTTGTTTTGCTTCCTCATGTTGTCTGTAAGTGGTAAATGACATATCAACATAAATACACGATAAGGACATTCAAGTTTCGGGTACTGTAGCTCCAAACATACCTTGTGAGCAAGATAGGATGAATAACCTCTGCTCATTTGCAAGCTTCTTTCGGTTCTTATGTTGTTTGAATTTGTTCACTATAAGTGTCTTGTTTTTTTTTGCAGATTTCTGGTTTGGAGATATAAAATCTGGTCAGCAAGATGTGCAATTCTCTGCAATGTCTGGTCAGTGTGCAGTTTTCTTGCTCTTTTTCCTTGACTGGCTGGCTAGTTTAGGTTGTCAGCAGTACTGTACCTGCCCACTTCACAATGCAACCTGTGTTGAGGTTTATTTTTAAATGGCTGACTACAATGTTAGTTATTGAGGGGCTTCAGATTTTGATAGAAATCTTCTTGTAAAAACATGACACTCCAGCATATCCACACATTGTGGTTTTAAAATCACATTTAGCTTGAATTTAAGTCCTAAAGTAGGTCTCTTCTGTCTATACTTCCAGAGAAATTGCAAAAGTTTGAGGGGACATCACTTCAAGTGGAAATTGCCTCTGCACGTCAGACATACTATTTAATCACTGGCAGGCTGGTGCTTCGATTTGTTGCTGCTGACAATGCTAGCATTTTCATTCATTTAGGCACCACTTTTGTCTTGGTATTTACGGAATCTCTAATAAACAATACGGACCCCAACCCTACAATTGCAGTAGTGTGTGATTTATTAAATTAAGTATTTCCAATTTTGCCGCAAAAATGCACTGTAGTGTTAATCACACATTTGGCTATAGCATATAGCAATTTAGTATTTTACTCTAAAGGCACAGCAGGTAGCAGTATTGCCTCGCAGCTTCTCTCTGCACTCATCATTATAGTTAATGATCATATTTCCACACAGTAGACCTTCTATGTAGAATTTGTATGTTCTTTCCAATAACTGCCTGGCTAGGTCAACTAGTGTCTCTGAAAGCATGTAGCCAGCACTAGTTTGGTCTCAGTCATGAGTACAGTCCTCTCTGTTGCCTGTGCTTCCACAACCCTTCTCATGAATAAGAAGCTCTCTCGTAATGAATGCATGGATTTAAAACGTAGAACATAAAAAAGTGGAATTTCATAGTTTCTGAAAGAGTTTTGATTTTTTCAAAAAAAAAATGTGGGCCCCTGCTCACTACTGGAAAAAAAAACAGTGGTGAAGCAGTGTTTGTCACGAGTGACCTGTAGAGCAATCGGGAGGATGGACCCTGTGCGGTACCTCAGGTGGTCAGGAGACAGAGGGGAACGACCAGATAGCTTCCAATCCAGGAGAGGGCTAGGCGAGAGACATTGTCAAGGGCAAGCTCCATAGTTTGTACCATAAATTATTTAGAAGACTAGAAATAGACAGCGAGGTAGGAGCTCCAAAGGGGCGACCAATACCAGGCAAAGACCAGAGGGTCTTCAAGGGTTTAAATATCGTGAGAGGAGGAAGGTGCGTTGATAGTATGGAGTATAATGGTTGGTTGATTGACAGGAACAGTGTAGTTTAGAAGAAGTGCTCAGAGCTGGAGTGTAGCACGAGTGCACTTCCGTGTGGGAATCTGGTTGGATGAGGGCGTGACATTGCTGTCTTGGCTCTCAAGTCCTATAAGGAGAAACACATCGAAGATCCTGAATGAAACCATCGACTGTTATTACTTTATTCGCCTGACTGGGGCTGCAGGGTCTGTTTGCCTACCCCAGGTGTTGTGTCCCTGTGGACGTTGACTGTCCTGCCCTTTGAGAGGTACAGTGTCGTCTGTCGGCCTGTCAGAGCCTTCGTGCCGAGCACAAGGAGGGTCTGTCAGAGCCTGGTGTTTGTGTGTCTCCTCTGCCTCCTGGGGTGGAGCTCCTACGGGCTTGAGGGGGGTCAAACCTCCTGCGCGATTGGGTGGGAGGAGTGGTCCTGAAGCACCTACATCTACACTGTCATGTACTTTGCTTTCTGCTCCCTACTTCCACTGTTCATAATCAGATTTTCTTATGGCCATGCGCTTCAGGCCCTGCGCAAGGTAATGCTATTGTTCTTGATATAAACTGATTAATTACTTACCCAATATATATTTATATATTTATAATGTGCAATGCAACTTTTTGTGTACTGTTCTGTTTTTTCTATATTCTGTGCTGTGAGCAACGCTTTTTTTAAGTCCACTTCTCACGGACTATACTTACAGTATTGTATGTATTGTATCATTGTATATTTTCATTTCACATTATGCTGTGTTGACTGTGCTAAGCTGCTGTTGCACTGCAATTTCCCTCACAGGATCAATAAGGTATCTATCTAAAGCATGAATAGACTGATACGGTATAAGGGAGATCATGCGAAAGCACGCTAAGGGGACGAAAAATACAGTACAAGACAAACTTTCCGTGTTTCTCCTTCCTGAGGTAATAATAATGCTAAACTTTATTTATAGAGAACCTTTCATTCATATTGCAGCTCAAAGTGCTTTACAAACCAAGCACAAAAATAAAATCTTAAAATTAAGAGATATGCTTTCAGTTGTAAAGGAAAACACAGTTAAACATAAAGCAACATAAATTTCAATTTATGCTTGAAAAATAAATAAATAGAAATGAGGAAAGTCGTAATAAAAACAGAACAATAAGAAAAATAAAAGAAAAATAAAAAAGAAAGAACAAAGAACTATCAACTAAATTAAAAAGATATGTTTTCAAATGTTTTTTAAAACAATGTACCGAGCTTGACTGCCTAATAAAAAGTGGTAGTGAGTTCCGTAATTTAGAAGCATAAAAACAAAAAGCAGCCTCTCCACTCTTTCTGTACAGTATTTCACATGTGGTATTTGCAGAAGGCCAGTATTTGCTCAGGTCAGATATAGGAACGTATAAAGACAGACATTCAGTAAGGTACATACTGTAGGTGCTAGGCCGTTTAGAACTTGAAAACAAATAAAATAACTTTAAAATCTACCCTAGATAATACAGGTAACCAGTGAAGTTCTTTCAGAACAGGGGTGATATGTGTTCTCTTTCTTGTTTTTGTTAGGATCCGTGCTGCTGCATTGTGAACAAGTGGTGGGGATTTATTGTTTGGCACTTGGTCCCAAAGGATGGAGAGAGTTTGAGTAAGGGAGAAGTAACTGGGTGAGGTCTCTGTAACAGTTAGGTCAGGGTGAGTGAAAAACAATTTCTCAGTTATAGACGAGGACTGGCTGGATTAAAGGATATACAGGAATCATATTTCCATGCTGGTCTGTCAGAATGTAAGATGATTGAAGTCCCTGATTAAAGTGTAGGACGATCATTAAGTTGAGTGCTTTAGAAGTTTTTGAGGGTTTCAGAAGATCTATTCCAAGCTACAAGAGGACATGTTTTGTCTCTTGGAGTCACAAATAGACGCTGTGGCCCTTTGCTCTGTTTGCTGTTTCCATAAAAGAAATAGGCAATCATGTAATAAATACGTGCCCTGCGGTCTGTCAAATTACTTGTTTAAAATTAGGCTTCCTGGAAAAAGTGAACCACTTGTTTTCAGAGCTCTGTGTGTTCTTTGTTTAAGGGAGCTGTTAGAAACATACTGTAGATAACTCATTGTTTAGATGACCCGTTTCACATGAGCTTGCTGGAGTTTAAAATATTAAATATCAGTTTGAGCTGTCTGTCTGTGGGCCCCTCACTATGCAGCTGAACAAGTGTCGAAGGAGGCAGGAAACAGTTGGAGGAAATAAACTAAAACATCCTGGATATCCCTTCCTTCTTACCATGGTACTGTAGATAAGAGCAGAGCACAGCCCCTCTGTCTCGGTTTGCAGGAACCATTCACAGCTTAAATATCACGTAATGTAAGATAAGACCGTCCAACAGTCATATCCCATGTTTCTTACCTAGGCTTAATAGATAAGTACAACAAAGTACTGTAGATCACCCCTGATACACATAAGTATATCAAATAAATTATTTTGTTTTTAATCTACTGTAGTGAAAGTTAAAGAATTCTCTCTGGAGTATGGCCTTGGTCTAGGTTTTCATGGTTTGCTGAACACAATGAGGAACAGACTGACGGAAAGGAAGAACAGAGTGAAAGAAAGAGCCAACAAGGAAACAACAGACCAAAAACAAGAGAGCAGGTGATTCATAACTTCTGTGACAGGCATGCCTGCTTATGCTAAATGGAGTACAAGGACGAATGAATACTGTTTAAATATTAGCTCTAAATACATTTTAATTACCCTACAAAGTCTTTAATAAGTAAGAGGCCTGTACATTTTTTAGATACACAATTATTCAGAGAAAAGCTGTGGGTGTCACAGCATGAGCCAAAACATTAAGAAGAGCCCAGTTTTTGTGCACATTGGGCAGGAATACTCCAATCAGCTTCTTTTTAGGAATGATGTTACATGGGTATTGCAGTATTTACATGCAAAACATCCCTGTTTCTGACTCTGGCAGTTCCGTGAGTGTGCTGTGGACCTCCTTACCTATGCACACCTGAGAGTCAGGGCTCTGGAGGAGGGCAGTGCCACTACTACGGCCCCAGAGGAGATCAGGGCCACCAGAAAACTAAATCAGGTGGAGCCTGTGTGACCCTTAACTGCTTGTGTGACATCTGCCAGCATGCACAACTAGTCCAACTGCTACGCAGTTACACTCCTAAAGGTCACTCTCAATCCAGGTATGATAAAGGAAAGAACAAAATGTGTACTTGTGCTGTAATTGTGGTGATAATTGTAATCTGATATCTCAAAGTATCAGAATTCCAGGTTCTGGTCCCAGGAGCAAATGCCAGAGCCAGGCATGAAAGCAGCTGTCAGTCAGAGGCCCTCTCTTCAGAGGGATTCGCACTTCAGGGGAAATTCAATTGATAGACAGGGGGCAAAAAGTTTCATTTACAAACGAGTCATAATGATTAGAGACAGGAAAATGTATCATGCAGCTGACCCAGGTAAAAGAGAATAGCATTATCTGAGAAACAGTATTTTGCAACAATTATTAATAATTAGTTGAATTATCACAGAGAAAGCTTTATAAACCCTAAGCATGTACATAAAATGTTCTGTTTTTCTTCTAATGTGTAGTCGGTACGAGAGGTCTGTAAAAATAATGCATTGATATCTTTGGTGAATTAGCCTCTTTTGCTTGTATAAAAAAACAGAGTGTTTCGAATTACATAGTTCTGAGCTGTTTGCGCTTCAATGATGACAATAAATCGATACGTGACTGGAGACGCAGTCCATTATTTCAACACTTAGAAGAATGGTTGCATTAGTGGAGAATACTGATTGGTCAGGCTCCTGTTAGTCCTGCTTCTCAGAGCCCTAAAAAGAGATTCCAGCGTCTGTTTAATAGTGACACACCACACTGTTATCTTTCGCAGATCACAATACCAATGTGTGTTTGATACAGGGGCGACAGAGCCAATATAAAGGTTGTTTTGAAACATAGAAGACCTTCATCTTGTTACTGCCTCTGAGTTGAATATCTGTTTCCTTGAGTGTCAGTCCTGCTCTCTGAAGATTATGTTCTGCTCCATCCTCTGTCATGACATCATCTGAAGCTCAGTAGAAAACACTGACCAACTGAGTCTAGATGAGGATTTAGAGCTAGCCAAGATACACTAAATAGTACCATCAAAGTTCTTATCAATTTGTGAATTAATGTTGCCATTCTTCTATAAAATAGTTCCCTTGATTTAACATTTTATGACAGTGTAACCCATACCATAAATGTCAACAACCACAGCTAAAGTTTGGATATTTAAATGGACAAAGGAATAGGCTGGTGTGTTACAGTTTTGATTTTAACCTACAGTACATCTCCTGTCGCACAACAGCATATTTCTGTTTCAACCCACAATACTACTTCAGTGCTGACACTGGATCATGGGCCAAGGGGCACAAATGAAAATTGAGAGGATGAACTCAAAACAGGAGGCAATTGTTCATATACTGTATAAAACATACAACTGAGAGGATGCCAATCAGCCCATCTAATTTGTTAGGTTGTTAGCTGCTAATGTATTTGAGAATCTCTGAGTGATTTTAAAACTGGGAACAATTGAAAGTCTTTAGGGACTGTTCCAAGTTACATTTTGAGGTAAACTTTGATTCCATTTACAAAACAGGACAACAGCTTCTATTGTCCTTAAGAAAGCTTAAAGAACCACAGGCTGATAATTTGTTGTTGGTCATATTTTACCAGTCATTGTTGAAACTGCCTTAACGTGTACACAGATCTGCTGGTTTGCGAATCTGAATCAGAGGAGGGCAGGAATGGGGGAGTGTCATCAGACAGTGTCAGAAGGTCACGACCACTGATCTTCTGGCCCTACATCTTATCAGTCACATGTTTACGCAAAGCTGATTCCATTCCAGAGGACCCTTCGCACTCTTCCTTTAAGAACATCCGATTACTCCCCTCTGAACAGCTACTGACTTCACCCTCTGAAAACAAACAAGTTTTCATTTAGACCTCACCCTGCTCAGCAGGTGATTCTCTCGGACATGTAAACAGTATGTGTGTTGTTTATTTGTGTGTTTTTCTTTATTTTGTTTGCTGCTGTAAAACAAATTGGCCCCTGGGGATAATAAAGACTGTCTCCCTAATGAAAGAAGCCACTGTAACAGCTTGAGAATAATGGGAGGATAGTTTGTTTCATACTTACACAACCCTTTGTGTAAATCAGTGTCTCCTGTTCTTGGTTTTGAATTCCTTTCCAAGCAGTCTCCGTTTCTGTCTGTGATCTGTATTTCACTGCTGATTCTGACGAGCTAACTTTGTTTATGCCTTTGAGATTTTTCATATACAGTATGTATGGAATATAAACATCAGTAAGACTAAGGA